GCTATTTTTTGGTTGCAGCCGCCATTGTTGTTTGGTGGGGCCAGGCGGGATTCGAACCCGCCAGCTCAGGTGTATGTGGCTGGCGCCTTAGCCACTTGAGCCACAGGTGCCAAGCCGAGTAACTTCTTGCACTCTTGAGCTACCAATTGGCCTCCACCCATGAGGGCCATGATTTACGATCTCAGTATGTCAGGATAAAAAAAAGTCAAAAGAAAATTACGACAGAAATGATGGGAGGTACGTCATGGAGGGCATGGAGAAAGCTTTGTTTTAAAACAACACAAAACAATAATCTTCAAAGCCTTCCTCACGGCTCGGCACCTGTAGGTCAGCGGCTAGGGTGCCAGCCACATGCACAGGAGCTGGTGGGTTCAAACCCGGCCCGGGCCTGCCAAACAATAATGACAACTACACCTAAAAAATAGCCAGGTGTTGCAGTGGGCACCTGTAGTCCCAACTACTTGGGAGGCTGAGGCAAGAGAATCGTTTAAGCCCAAGAGTTGGAGGTTGCTGTGAGCTGTGACACCACAGCACTCAACCCAGGGCTATATAGTGAGACTCTGTCTCAAAAAAATAAAAAACAACCTTCCTCATAAACCTGCCAAGCTCCTAAGAGATCTGGACACAGATCTAATCCCCAAGGGAGTGGAGTTCCAGCCAACTGTAAGGACCTAAGGGATCAGCTGAAGTCAAGAACCTAAAGGTCTATCCTTGCATCCTGGGTGGTCTCTGCTCTTGCCCCCCGCTGCTGGGGCAAGAGGCAGATAGCTATAAGTCTGTTACGGATGAGAGTAGTTTAGGCGGGTACTTCACTGCCCCTCTCCTAAGACTTAATTTCTTTGCTCCTCCAAGTCAGAGGAGAATAAACCCTAAGAGCTAAGTATACTTCCCTCCTTTCCTCACCTCTCATTTGTTAATATGGCAAATAACTACAGAAGAATGCTCATTACCTTATTTTCTTTGTTGGCCTCTCTGGTGTCTGGGAGCGGGATGAGGCTGGGCTAGAGAAGGGTGATGAAGTGGGGCCACTTCTCTTCCAGAGCTAGAAGTCAAACCAAGAGTGACATGAATCCACCAGTTGATAATTTAGCATCTGACCATCAACCTACATTTAATACTACATTCATCACTACATTTAATAAAGTCTCCTTTTAAATGACTAACACAATATTTTTCTGTAAAAAAAGACCCTTGAAAAGAATAGTCAATTGCCAGTTCCAATTATGGAAGCAACAAAGAAAAACAAGGAGTCTAGAAAAGGAATAGAATGCTAACTATAATAATAAAAGGAAATGTTCTTTTGCATATATTAATAAGTGGAATGTTACATTCAGTTACAGTAGAGCTATGATGTGTAAAAGGACTGTCTATGGAAAGGATAAAATTAAGAAACTGTCCAGTGATGATAAGCCAATAAACTAATTTAGTCTTACTTTCATTATATGTTCAGTTTTTATTTTTTATTTATTTATTTATTTTTTGAGACAGAGCCTCAAGCTGTCCCCCTGGGTAGTGCTGTGGCATCATAGCTCACAGCAATCTCCAACTCCTGGGCTCAAGCGAGTCTCCTACCTCAGCCTCCCAAGTAGCTGGGACCA